AGTTCCATTGCTGACAATAGGGTGTGAACTGTCAAATTGGAACTGTCAAATCGCATGACAAGTCGCACCAGTGTGAACGGAGCTTATGTGTCAATTTATTACAGCCATTGTATAAATTAAAAAAAACACAAAAGACACTATAACACATTGGAGATTCCAGAACACGTCTTCTAATCGACACTGCAGGCTGCAACTCTGTTAAGTATTTCTCACCTGGTATAGTATTAGGAAACTAGAATTTCTCTGTTCTTGTCATGTGAAATATATAAAACTCTCCAAATATAGACTGTGAAATGACCAGAGAAAATATTTCTCAAATGTAATATCAATTAACTAAAGAGGTGTACACGCTATAAGTTATTTTTTCGTTCAGTCTAGTGCGTTGAACAAAAAAAAAGGAGAGATTGCTGTACTAACACAAGTGATGTTGGTGCTGCGCTTTCTCCCGCTGTGTCTTTGTGTTTTGACGTGGCGTGCCATTGGTTGTGCTGATTGCATGCTGGTCTGATGCTGATTGGATGCTCGTCCGATGCTGGTTTTCCAGCATGCCCTTCTACAGAAGCTGGTTGTAAGACCTGCTTCTGCAGAACAGACAGCTGTACATGCAGGCCGAAAGGTGGCCGGTTCCTGCCAAACCAATCCTATTTGGACGGTTTTTGGGCCCATGCATACCAAGCTTTAATGACCAGGCACAGTGCAAAAGCACTTGTTTATTCTTACATTTGGCCCATTGTTCTTCACATTTAAATGCAATCAATCTCTAATAAAGGTAAATATGACTGCCTATAGTTCTGTAACATTGAACATTGTGACTGAAGCATAGATCATTTTTACAAAGGTGCTACTGAACTTTTTAACCACTTGCCTACTGGGCACTTTCACACACTTTCTGCCCAAGCCAATTTTCAGCTTTTAGTGCTGTTGTACTTTGCATGACTATTGCGTGGGCATGCAACACTATACACAGTACAGTTTTAGCATTTTTTAGATATATAGAGCTTTCTTTTGGTGGTATTTAATCACCTCTGGGTTTTTTTATTTTTTGCTAAACAAACAAAAAAAGACCCAAATGTTGAAAAAAAATGTTTGTTTCTTAGTTTCTGTTATAACATTTTGCAAACAGGTAATTTTAAATCTTCACTGATGTGCACTGAAGAGGCTGCACTGATGGGCACTGATATGCAGCACTGATGGGCACTGATATGCAGCACTGATGGGCACTGATAGGTAGCACTGATGGGTACTGATGAGGCAGCACTGATGGGCACTGACGAGGAGGCACTGATGAGGCTGCACTGATAGGCGGCACTGACTGGCAGTACTGATGGTCACTGACTGGCGGCACTGACGATCAGTGACTGGCGGCATTGATAAACACTGCCATGTGGCACTGATGGCCACTGACAGCACTGATCAACACTGACTGGCAGCACTGATGGACACTGACGAGGAGGCACTAATGAGGTTGCACTGATATGGGGCACTGATAGGCAGCACTGAAGGTCACTGATAGGCTGCACTGACTGGCAGCACTGATGGGCACTGACTAGCAGCACTGATGGACATGGACTGGCGACACTGATGATCACTGACTGGCAGCACTGATGGACACTGTTGGGACTGCACTGATGGACACTTTTGGGGCTGCTGGGGGCTGCACTGGACTGCCTCTGACTTTCTAAATACACTTGCCAATTACCGGCTGGCCTCTCTCCCAGAAAGTGCAACCAATAACCGACAAACTGTATTTGCATTGTGATCAGCTATGTCATTGGACACAGCTAATTACTTAGTAAAAGGCTACTGTGATTGGCCCTTTATCATGTCATGTCATCAGCTGCGTCCAATCACAGCAATCACACAGCTCACCAGGAGGCGCGGTTCTGGAGGACATCATATGATGCCCTCCCAGAACTAGATGACTGCACTGTAGCCGTCATTCGGCTATAGCTTGGTCGTCAAGTTGTTAAGCAACTTTTTTTTACTATAAAACATAAGGAATGCTGCGCTACATTCAAATCATAGAGAAATGTGAATGTGGGATCCCAAAATATCAAATAAAATGTGACAATGTTATCAATACAGATCAATACGTGTTCATTGATAATATCATAAATCAAATAAATAACTCAAAACATGTGGAAACACAAAAACCATATCTATATATATGTGCATCAACCAAAAATACACATATATATGATGTAATCACACGTGCCTATTGTGAAGTGAAAATAACCATAATAATGGTACACACAAATTAATATCTCAAAGTCCAAAAAATATATTGTTGGTGACAAAAACAGTAAACGGTGCTTCGAAATTATACTGTTACTGACCACAGGTGAAAAAAAATCTCGTGCAGGTTTCTGGGTGTATACAGATCTGAGAATCCAACCACCATCTGGATTAGCCTCTCACCTCATCCTTCGACCCTTGCGGATCAAAGAGCAGTAGTGGATCCCTCTCACAGATCCTCCAAGCACCAAAACACTCCAAAGGCAGTTTTTCTTCTCAGAGTATAATATTCCCACTATGGCTCTTCTCCAGGAAAAGTTGTAATATCATCTCTCAAAATGAGACAAAGGAATCCTCCCATAGTGTAGTATATTTAATTATACCATAGGAACATGTAGCATATTTACACTGTAACTTACGTAGCAGCCAGTCCAAGAAAAAACCTCATGCTTTCAGATGAGGATATATCTGTTGGGTGTACAGCTGAATGCACAGGTGTACCAAGATGGCCGCCACGCCGGAAAATACGTCACCGCGTTAAGCCGACGCGTTGCGTCACAGTGTCATGTGACTTCATCAGGGCTGTCAATCACAGGACGATCACTCTTTAAATACCCAGCTTGTTAGAAGGAACCACCTACATAGGAAGGGTTTTCTTCAGCATAATTCCAACACTACTTCCTGCGGCCATTAACACTGAAGACCACAGGGGACTCCTATGTAAATACTGCATACTAGTAACTACAGCAGGCACATCTATACAGGGATCATCCGAGCACTGTATAATGATGCACCTACTAAAGTAAATATACCTAATTCTTATAAAAAAAACAACAAAATGCCCTTATATCAAATCCCATTTTAATTAAATTTTATTAAAAGCAAAAAAATATATATTGTTTATTAAATTTAAAAATTAAAATAAATTAAAAATAAAATGAAAATAAATTAAATTAAAATAAAATAGACCATCTCTCACATAATTACACATGCTATTATCAATCCTTGTTATAGTAAATATCCGCATATGATCTCTAATTATATATACCAAACCTACAACCAATTATTTTGTATAATTATCTGGAAATATATATATATATACCTGTGCACAGGTATATATATATTACCTGTGCACAGGGCATTTTGTTGTTTTTTATAAGAATTAGGTATATTTACTTTAGTAGGTGCATCATTATACAGTGCTCGGATGATCCCTGTATAGATGTGCCTGCTGTAGTTACTAGTATGCAGTATTTACATAGGAGTCCCCTGTGGTCTTCAGTGTTATGGCCGCAGGAAGTAGTGTTGGAATTATGCTGAAGAAAACCCTTCCTATGTGGGTGGTCCTTCTAACAAGCTGGGTATTTAAAGAGTGATCGTCACTGTGATTGACAGCCCTGATGAAGTCACATGACACTGTGACGCAACGCGTCGGCTTAACGCGGTGACGTATTTCCGGCGTGGTGGCCATCTTGGTACACCTGTGCATTCAGCTGTACACCCAACAGATATATCCTCATCTGAAAGCATGAGGTTTTTTCTTGGACTGGCTGCTACGTAAGTTACAATGTAAATATGCTACATGTTCCTATGGTATAATTAAATATACTACACTATGGGAGGATTCCTTTGTCTCATTTTGAGAGATTGATATTACAACTTTTCCTGGAGAAGAGCCATAGTGGGAATATTATACTCTGAGAAAACTGCCTTTGGAGTGTTTTGGTGCTTGGAGGATCTGTGAGAGGGATCCACTACTGCTCTTTGATCCGCAATGGTCGAAGGGATGAGGTGAGAGGCTAATCCAGATGGTGGTTGGATTCTCAGATCTGTATACACCCAGAAACCTGCACGAGTTTTTTTCACCTGTGGTCAGTAACAGTATAATTTCGAAGCACCGTTTACTGTTTTTGTCACCAACAATATATTTTTTGGACTTTGAGATATTAATTTGTGTGTACCATTATTATGGTTATTTTCACTTCACAATAGGCACGTGTGATTACATCATATATATGTGTATTTTTGGTTGATGCACATATATATAGATATGGTTTTTGTGTTTTCCACATGTTTTGAGTTATTTATTTGATTTATGATATTATCAATGAACACGTATTGATCTGTATTGATAACATTGTCACATTTTATTTGATATTTTGGGATCCCACATTCACATTTCTCTATGATTTGAATGTAGCGCAGCATTCCTTATGTTTTATATTTACTGAATCACTGGTATATGATTTAATGCTAGCAGCTTCCTTTGGGATTTATACACATATTTATTTGATTTACTATTTTTAGTTTTAAATTAACACTTGGGAGCGCAGGAGGTTCACACCATCAACTTTTTTTACTGACACAACACAGAGGGCCTCCTCACACTTGTCCCTTCTGCTGTGGTGATGCACACAGACACAATAACATGCAGTATTTTACACTTGAATTGGATTAAGGCATTGCATTTGTTTTAAATAGGCTGCCAGTGCATGGTAATGGAAGCAAAGAAAACTAGCACTGCACTTGTGTTGTGGTGTGCTGCAATGCAGGTCTGTGGCCACCTGTATCTGTGTGTTGGGGTGACATTTTAAATGTATGAATTCTAAATCAATGCCACTACAATGCACCCCCCAGAGTGCCTTGTGTTATTACAACACAATGGTATGAAGCCAGCCTTAAGGCAGAAGTGTGATTGTACCTCTGACTATAAATTCTTTGCCAACTGACTTATACTAAATATGTAAACAAGCACAATCTCTTACTTGCAGGGGTAGTTCTCTGGGGTTCTGGAATGGGCGTGGGGTTCCTGGGTGCTCCAAGCCTGACAAGTCTTTCCTGATGCTGTGACAGCGATATTTCCTCGATATGACTCACCATCCCCAGACAAACACTGCAATCCCGGTGGTGATGGAGGAGGATTAGAGGCTTCAAAATGGAAAAATAAACCTTTAAAAATACTTAAATCTAGTTTTATGCAATATTTTCTCTTCATATAATTAGTGTAAATCTATGCAATGGGTAAAGAGTTAGAACATTTTGGTTTCCACTATAAAAATACAAAGAATTTGTCATTATACAATAAAGGATAGCTAAAAAGAAAAAAAAACAAAAAACTCAAACATGTTATATATAGTTTTCAAGTGATGGCTGTATTCATTGTTTTTGGCTTTTTTTTAACCTGATAATCCTACAAAGAACATTTTTCCTGCCCCAGGGTATCAACACTCACTGGCTGTATTATATCGATGAATCAGCAGTGTTGTCTCCCTAAGTTGTTCTCCCTATTTGAACAAAAAACACTTTCTCCTCTCCATTACATAGGTGGGAGCGGGTTATGTAGTTTATAAAAGATAGCTGGGTCTTCTGCTAATCTTGGTCAAGATTCCAGTTCAGTCTGCTGGACGTTTTTACAACTCAAGATTTATGGCAAGATTATCAGGTATTTTTCTCCCATGGTAAAAAAGTTATTACCTTGAATAAAGAAAACAAATGCAGCCATTAGATATAAGGATTGGTAGGTATTTTTAGTTTTGGGTTTAGATATGCTTTAATCACTCCTGCTGGCTGACAGCTGGGGTCCAGTGCTAAATCCAGAAGCTGAAACAATCAGGTGCTAGACTACTGTTCCTTAACAGATCCATCAGTAGGAGTGTGCTGTAGAAGTGAATGTAAACACAATGCTTCCATATTGTGTTTACCTTGGGAGCGTTGTGACTGGTGCCACTCTGTCCAGCTTCACCCTGCAGCAGTAGATTGCTGGAATAGGCTGGCTGTTTGCAAAGATAAAAATCCAGATAATATATATACACACACAGACACACAGTATATTATACATACACTATAGTGCCAAAAGTATTGGGATGACTGCCTTTACACGCACATGAATTTAATGGGATCCTAGTCTTAGTCTGTAGGTTTCAATATTGAGGTGGTCCAGCTATAACAGCTTCAATTCTTCTGGGAAGGCTGTCCACAAGGTTTAGGAGTATGTATATGGCAATGTTTGATCATTCTTCCAGAAGTGCATTTATGAGGTCAGAGGCACTGAGGTTGGATGAGAAGGACTGGCTCACAGTCTCCGCTTTTAATTCATCCCAAAGGTGTTCTATCATCTTGAGGTGAGGACACTGTGCAGGCCAGTCAAGTTCTTCCATCCCAAACTCACTCATCCATGTGTTTATGGACCTTCATTTGTGCACTGGTGTGCATTCATGTTGGAATAGGAAGGGGTCATCCCCAAACTGTTCCCACAAAGTTGGGAGCATGAAATTGTCCAAAATGTCTTGGTATGCTGACTCCTTAAGAGTTCCCTTCACTGGAACTAAGGGGCCAAGTCCAACCCCTGAAACACAACCCCACATCATAATTCACCTTCCACCATATGTTTTACTTGGCACAATGCAGTCAGGCAAGTACCATGCTCCTAGCAACTGTCAAACCCAGACACGTCTATTGGATTGCCAGACAGAGAAGCGTGATTCATCACTCCAGAAAACACGGCTCCACTGCTCTAGAGTCCAGTGGCGGTGTGCTTTTCACCACTGCATCTAAAGCTTTGCATTGCACTTGGTGATGTATGGGTTGGATGCAGTTTCTTGGCCATGGAAACCCATTCCATGAAGCTCTCTGCACACTGTTCTTGTGCTAATCTGAAGGCCACATGAAGTTTGGCGGTCTTTAGCTATTGACTCTGCAGACAGTTGGCGATTTCTGCGCACTGTGCGCTTCAGCATGTGTTGACCCCGCTCTGTCGTTTTGACTACCACTTTGTGGCTGAGTTGCTATTGTTCCCAGTTGCTTCTACTTTGTTATAATACCACTAACAGGTGACTGTGGAATATTTACTAGCAAGGAAATTTCACAGAAATTTGACGGAGCACTCTTGAATTCACTGAGCTCTTGAGAGCGATCCAATATTCCACAAATGTTTGTAGAAGCAGTCTGCATATCTAGGTGCTTGATTTTATACACCTGTGACCATGGAGGTGATTGGAACACCTGAATCCAATGATTTGCAGGGGTGTCCCAATACTTTTGGAATTATAGTGTATATATTAAAAATAAATACTCCCTCCTCAGTTTAATCACTATGTCACACACTCCTACTGATGGATCTGTTGGATGATCTGGATGACATTTGTGTTTACTGTCAAGTGTCAAAAGCAAATTTATTCCCAATAAAAAAACAACAAATAAAAATAATGTACCCAAGTCTGCGATCAAATTAAAACCCTACTTGCCCCCCCCCCCCCCCCCCAAAAAAAAAATGTTTAACATGTTAGGGCACACTACAAATACTAAAAGTATAATGTGCAGATTTGAGACATCGCTGAAATGAAAAAAAAAAAATGTTCTGGGACCAAGGGAGAAAAAAGTTTGGAAACTCTGTTAAGAAAAAGAAATAGTAAAAAAGATAATTATAACAAAGGTCTCATGTAGCAAATTATGAATATACAGTAATATAAGGACCATTCCTATAGTTTTGCACCTATGAGACTGTCTGAGTTATTTAGTAGTTTTGAGGATCCACCAAAAATTGTTACTGATTTATGTAAAACAACTGAAAAAAAATTTTGCCAATGCATTAAATTCAAAAGTTTTCTGCACAAAAGTAATCACCATGCTGGTTTAATAATGACATTTTAGAAAAGTGAACTGTACAATAAATATAAAGGCATTAAAACTTCAGCACTCACTGCAGCGTGGAACATTGCAGTATTCCCACCGCTTGTTTGGGTTAGTAGTAAAGCACCATGGTCGTGGTTCTCCATCTGGATTCCGACAGTAATTCTCGATGAGATTTTTTTCTGGAATGCTAAAAACATACATACAATTTATAAGATCTGATGCATCAAGTGCTGGTAAACTGGGTGATATTCAATTGTAATTATCTCTCAGAATCACGTTAGTTGGTAATTAATTTAAACTCAGTAATGGAAAATAAGCATACTGTATAATGATAAAAGATAATTACAAGTGAGTGTTTACAGGATATTACGTGGTTTTTTATTCATTATGAGTACTGGATTTAAATGAACAATAAACATTGTTATTTGTGTTGTTCATGTGTTGTTACATGATAAGTACTAGGAGTTATGTTCTAAATAGAGATACTCCTCTCAAACCACTAGTGCTTAAAGTGGACCATTTCCTCGCTTTTATTAAAAATCATTTTAGCTTGCAGACCATAAATATAAGGCTAATCCTTATTGTATATAACGCTACAACACAACAAATCTGTGTTCATAAATAAGTAAATAACTGTCCTCCAAAAACGTGTTTATAAATTTGAAATGTCTCTCTCCCACTTATTTGAAAGCTACAATGTAATATGTAACTGAAACACAGTGTCCATTTGATTAGGTGCACGATCCATTTTTCATGTTAACTCCTTATGTGCATACTTCAAACAATCTTCTTGAAACATCTTATTCCCCACTGTGAACAAAATCCGATCACTTCCAGTAAATGTTACCACCCCTCCTTTCCATGTTCTCATTTCTTCTGCTGCCTGGCCCCCCTGTATGCCCCAATGTAGTGCTGCCAGCTCCACCCCCACCCTTATTGCCTACTGCTGCAGGGATCGTTTGAGGATGGGGAGCAGGGGAAAGGGCTGGTAAATATGTAAACAGTACTGATCACTTACTGTGTTCATTCATAACCGAAGCATTGTAAACTGTTTTCTATGCTTCAGTTTGTGAATGAGCAGGGAGACTTTGCAGAACTCTTCCTGTTCATTTATTCTGTGCAGATGAGGCTGCAGAGATGGACATTGAGGAGATAGTCCTCAATCTTATTTTTCTGTATGAAAAGTGAGACATCAGAGGTCTTTTTAGACCCCTAATATTTCAACAAAGTCCCCCCATCAGCGCTGGTAAAAAATTTAAAAAGGAATAAAAAAATGTAATAGGGAGGATGAAATAGCTTTATATGCAGAGGATGCTCTAGTGTTTTTAGGGGCTATGACTGGATCAATAGAGCGCCTGATCTTTCTTATTAACTTTTTCAGGTTTCACTATAAATTGGAGTAAGTCTATGCTGCTATAAATTAACCCATTACAAGATCCCATGCCATTAGCAGCCTCCCAGGTAAAAGTGTAAGAAACATTGGCATATTTATGAATTTTAATACAGAAGGATGTCAAACAATATGGTATAGGTTGAATATAGACCCATTAATAGTTAAACTTAAACAGAAGACTAACAGTTAGTGTAAATTATCACTGGCAGTAGTGGGGAGATGTTAAAAATGTTATGGATGCCACAGTTGCTCTATGTATTGCATAATGCTCCAGTGTAGTTACCCATGGTCATTTTTGAAAGAACTGAGGCTATATTCCAGGCATTGATGTGAAAACAGTGAAGGGCAAGGATTAAACTACATACATTACAAGAGGCTAAGGAGATGGGTGGATTGGCAATCCCTGCTCCTTTCCTGAATTATTTGTGGCCCAGATAGAACATATGGCAGCATGGTTGGAATCAAATGTAGACCCCTTTAAAGGTGTGATAATAGGGGTATTGGGAAGTCAGAGGCTGGTAGATAGTTTGGAGGTGGGAGAATTTAGGAAAGAGAAGCAATATCCAATGATGGTTATGATGGATAAGGTATGGGACAAGATTAAAATGTATTTTGAATATGGGGGATATAATGATTACACCCGCATAATATTAAAATTACAGGGATTTGGCCAGTGGCAGAACGTGGCCTGGAATATATCCCACAGTTACATCAGGGCCAGGGTCAAGTTATGAAGGAGTTTTGTATTTTACAGGATGAATTCAATTTACTAAGTGCTTTTATCAATACTAATTGCTGTTTCTGGCTTGGAAACGGATTGCACAAAGGTGGTTGTCCAGGACTCCCCCAAGTCATACACTATGGGTTAAAATGGTAAATGAAGTACTACAAAAGGAACATATGGTATATTATCATAGAGGTGGTTCGGATAGATATGTTAAAATATGGGGTAAATAGGTTAATAATATAGTTGTAATGCCTATACAGTGGGTAAGGGAAAGGTTAATGGATAATGAAGATATGGTTCTTATAAAAAAAATAATTAGTCCCTAAATGTATAAGGAAAAACAGAGACAAGTAGAGAGGATATGTTTATATATGTGTTGTAAGGTTGAAAGGAAGTATGTTGTTTTGTGGGGAACTAAAAAAAAAGGGAAAAGGAAAAATAAAGGTTATTGTAATGAACATGAGTATTAGGCTAAAGAATATGATGGATATGCCAGTCTGGTAGATTTTATCAATAACTTTGTCTAAATGATTTGTATATCACATATAAGTATGATTTTATGTTGTTTATAGTCAGTCTGTACTATATTGCTCTGTTTTTCAGTAAATTGTTTCTATTTTCTATGTGCGTGGGAGAATGCATTTGAAGATGTTTGTAAGACTTTATTTATCTTTAATATCAATAAAAAATTAAAAAATAACATTGTAAAAAATAATAAATACAACATTGTAAAAATATATAACAAAAATAAAATAAAAAAAAATTAAAACTACTGACACTGTCTTCTGCCCTACTGACACCAAGAACTCTGCCCTACTGACACTGTCCACTGTCCTACTGACACCATCCACTGCTCTACTGACACTGTCCTCTCCCTTACTGATACTATTCACTGTTCTACTGAGTGACATCACCCTCTGCTTTACTGACTGACACCATCCACTTTCGTAATGATACCAACCATTCACTACTCTAGTGACACCGGTGGTATCAAATGATATACAGACTGGTATATCTTTATGTTGAGCAGGTATCTTCTTAGGGAAATTTTTTTTTGTTTTTATTTTTAATAAAAAAAACAAGAAACTGGGAAATTCTGCTAGGTTTCAACATATACTCCCTTTTTTGTAACTCTGAGGATTACGTTAGTGCCAAAGAATCAAACATTTCCAACTGTGAAATTTCTTTCAGCTTGAAATTATACTTGATAGTACATCTTCCATTACTTTGACTGACCTCAAATGTGGATACTTGAATGATCCACATTCCTGATGATCCAAACCCTACATTTATATCTGGTAAATTGGGAAATGATCAAGAGGCCACAGCATATTTTATAAGCTTCACTTTCACTTCCACTTTCAGTAATATTATGAAACTTGTAGAAACTTGTAGCATTCTGATACCTAGTCCCCAGCTGAACACTGCATTTTGATTTAGGCTATTTACCACTAGTATTTTGAGGCTATTTGGATCAGGGTTACATTTAAACAATTGTAAACAGCTTTGGTCCAGAACCCTTTAAAGGTTTGATTACACTAGCAGCTGGGGGGTGGTAAAATCAGACAGTTGGGCAACAGTTTTAATGCTCCCCTCCTCCAAACACAGTAATGCACCCGCACAGAACTGTAACCATGCTGAAGTAGCAAAGCAGTGCTTCATGGGCATGGCAAAAATTAAATGGCATGCCACAGTCAGCAGATGGTACCATCGCTGAACACGACCCATTCAAATGAATAAGGCTCTGCTGGAACTGCATGCCATGCACATGATTGCAGTGCAGTTGGTCAACATTTTGAGTAATAAAGGAGGTGGTGAGGAGGCAAAAAAACCACATCCTCACCGTGTGTCGAACGCCTCTGAAAAGCAATCCAGTGTGAAGTGGCATGCACTGGTGCACATGTGAATAAGGCCTAAATGACATTGGCTCCAAGCATGCATTGGCATACATAAGAATCCATTTACAGCTTTCCTAAATAAGCGTGGCAAGGTGACCTTCAGGATTTAAAATATTACATTGCTTCCATATATATATTCTCTGCAACCAATCAAGTTATAGCTAACGCTTTTAAGGCTCCTGCCATCACCTTTATCAATAAAGAGACCCACCTTATATGGATGATGGTTAAGGAAAACTCTTTGCTTTGAGTGTATTTACTTTTATATAGAATTTTCACTTATCTTAGTGAATAATGTTGTAAGGGGAGTCTAAATAGCAAAAGGAATAGTGCTACAACCCCAACAGTCCACAGCAGTCATCAGAATGGAATAGAGAGCAGCGTGCCTAGATAACCGCAGTACTACAGCATGGTAACCTTCAATATAAAATTTGAATCCAGCAGCACAGCATCTCAAAAATTAGAACAATGCAATTTGATTTTCTCATCTTAAAAACAGAACTCAATGCCTGTACATATTGGCGCGTTTCAGCCTCCTACAGAGGCCTTGGTCATAATTGTTGTCTTCCCTTTGCACCTCCTCTCCTTGGAAGCACCACAGAATAGGGACCACTTCCCCCACGTATGCTAAGTTCACAGCATTCAGCTTCCTTCACCAAGTATAATCAAGGTATCTTCATTAGGATACAGTACCAGGCTCCCCAATGTCCCTTCCATAGCTCTGACAAGTTTGGCATACTTCCAAATGACACACTCATTCCCAGGCGCCATAGTACTTATATCAGATGACTCTGGCCTGGCCTAAAAGGCCTTTTGCACCCCACTCACAACCTGCAGAAGACTGTAAAAAGAGTCAGGGAGACCACGCTGTTCCTTTTGAGTTCTGAAAAAACCTTGCCTGAGATTTCACTCCTGTAGACAGCCCTGTAGGTCAGTATTGGATTTCATTATTGTAGCTCTGGGGTGTTTGGCTTCCATTCACTATCTCACTAATCTCTCTAGGCCCCTCCATTATGGCACTCATATGGGCACTAACTCCACCCATTACATCACTAGAAGAAAGTTTTCTGTAAAAGGGGCCCAATCCCAAACCCAATCACCACTTTCCCTATACCAGACAAAATT